GGGTGAGGGGCTGATGGCTGTTTTCAGGCTGGCCACACCCTTTTAGGGTGGGGAGTCCCCACTGGGGTGCCTGGCCAGTCTGGATGAGGGGCTGAGGGCCGTTTTCAGGCTGGCCAAGCCCCCTGGCAAAGGAAGCTCCCAGCCTCTCCTTTTTTTCTTTTTTTTTTTATTCTGGGATTTATTTACCTTCTATAATTGAAACTTTGTTGCCTTCAGTGGAGCTCAAAGCCCCTTGGCAGGCGGGAAGCTTGGCTTCCTGCTTACTACAGCTCCGTGGCCATGGCCGGCTGAAAGCAGGTATCTGGGGTTTATTTATCTTCTATAATTGAAACTTTGTTGCCTTCAGTGGAGCTCAGAGCCGGCTGGGAAGCTTGGCTTCCTCCATCACTGGAGCAACCAAACCTCCTGCTCGCTCCAGCTCCATGGGTGCTGGCCGCCATCTTGGTTGGGTTAATTTGCATATAGTCGCTCTGATTGGCTAGTGGGTGTGGCTTAAAGCATAGCAAAGGTACAGTCAATATGCATGTTTGTCTTTTATTAGATTAGATAATCTTGAGCATCATTTGCATGCCTTCCTTGATTTTTTTGGTCTCTATTCTTTTGAGGTTTTTTTGAAGTTAAATGTTTAATTACATAAACAGATTACCCAATGTATGTGCTGTGCACATATCCTTAAGTATATGAATAAAAACAGCTATAAAATATTATAAAAACACAGGTAGACTGCCAAACTATAGATGAGTGAAGAAAAACCACCATTGTTCTATCTTATTATAAATATCAAAGTAATTGTGTCAATTTTTTTTAATTGTGTCAATTTTAATGGGATTTTGAAATTGTTTTAACAAAAAAAGTTAATTTGGGGGTTCAGAAACACATAAATATTTATTCCACTGAGAATAATGGCATATACTTTCAACTTATTGAAATTTCTCCAAAAGATTTCTCAAGGTCATGTTAATCTCTTATGGCACAAGACAATTCCTTTAAGAAAACTGGACCTTTGTCACGTTTTGAGTTTTTCTGGTCATTTGTGTTTTGATTTTATGTTTTTCTACAAATAAATACATAATGAATTCAACAAATATCTTAGTATATACCAAATTGTTGACGCTGGAGATATCTCAACAAAAAATAGACCAATATTTCTACCTTTAAAAGACATTATACTGGTCAAATTCAAGATTTCTTTTTTTATATTTCAATCTTACATTTACCTAGAATTTTTTATAAAATGACTCTTTTATTCTAGTGTAGACTTAAGTCTGCAACCTTGTGATAACAAAACTCTACTAATGCACTGATATAAACTTTCTCAAAAGCAATTTTGCAGTGAATATTAAGGATTTTACAAGAAAAAGCCTTAAATATACATGCAAATATACTCCAAAATTTCACTTCTTAAAACTTAGTAAAAAGAAACAATCAAGCATCTGCACAAAGATTAGGATATTCATTACAATACTAGAAAACTGGAAACAACTCAACTGTCCGATAATATATAACTGGTTAAGTAGATTATGGTATTTCTACACAATGTAAATGATACACAATCATTTAAAATTATATTTTATAAATTATATGATTTGTAAAAATGATTTATCTTGTTTAAAAACATAAAAGGACATAACAATATGATCCAACAGAGTAAAAAATATAGATGCTTATATACTAAACATTAATCATGGTTATCTCTAGATTATAAAAATAGGAGCAATCTTATCTCTTTTGTGTTTCTGTTTTCCATGTTTTCTAATAAATTAGAAAAAATGATATTGCCGAGCCGGCGTGGCTCAGTGGTTGAATGTCCACCTATGAACCAGGAGGTCACAGTTTGATTGCCAGTCAGGGCACATGCCCGGGTGAGGGCTCGATACCCAGTGTGGGACGTGTAGGAGGCAGCCGATCAATGATTCTCTCTCATCATTGATGTTTCTCTCTCTCTCTCTCTCCCTCCCTTCCTCTCTAAAATCAATAAAATATATCCTATATAACAAAAAGCTAATATGCAAATCAACCGAATAGCGGAATGACTGATTGCTATGACACGCACTGACCACCAGGGGGCAGACGCTCAACACAGGAGCTGCCCCCTGGTGGTCAGTGCACTCCCACAGGGGGAGCACCACTCAGCCAGAAGCCCTGAGCCGGGCTCACGGCTGGTGAGAGCAGCGGCGGTGGCAGGAGCCCCTCCTACCTGTGCGGCAGCGCTAAGGTTGTCCGACTGCCGGCTTAGGCCTGCTCACCACCGGGAGCAGGCCTAAGCTGGCAGTCGGACATCCCCTGAAGGCTCCCGGACTGAGGGACCCCTACAAGTGCACAAATTTCGTGCACCAGCCTCTAGTGTGTGTGTGTGTGTGTGTATGAGTTTTAAAAAACTCCAAAGGTATTTAAGGGCTTCAGTTTAATCTTTAATAAAAAGACTAAGTATTATAGAATAAGGGAGAAAAGATGTTCTTTTCTCCAATGAAGTATTGTTACAATGCTACAGAATTAGAGTACTGCTTAACACTTGGGTTGCGGGAAACGAGTTAAGTCGGCTCGCGTGAATTGCGCGTACTCCGCGGGAGCCGTCTTAAACTCGGTTCATATAGATTTGCGGTGGAGTGCGGGAAACGTGTAAACTCGGGCCGATTGTAACTGCGTATTACCAAATATTTCATTTCAATCGAACCCATACTTCAAAAGATATAGGCATTTTAACGCGCCATCTTATATTTTGGCGGGAAATTCACCCGACACCGTAGTGTTAAAAAGAAATACCATGGAACAATGCCCAATATTTCAATTTGTAAGGTGTCATTATATAATTAAAATAAAAATACATTTTGAGTTAGTTACCTATCCAGGGCTTCCTTGAAGTATTTCCTCTGGACATCAAACTGAAAGACTGTCCGTTCACAATCAGTTGAAGCATTATCACTACCCCCATGTTTCTTCAGGAAAGCATCAAACCCATTCTCATCTGGATATTTCAAACTACCCATGAATACCACTAAGTGAAAAGAACACAAAGTCACACAAAAACAAAGATATAGATAATGTTTATATTATCAAGGAAATTTCTCATATAAAGAAAAAATATTGGAAGAAATAATATCAACACATTAACAATAGTTATGTCTGGATAATAGTTTCTTCATTATACTTGTTTTTATAATTTTCTATAATACTCATATATTACTTTTACACTCAAAAACTAAATATTTTACTTTTAAAGAAATATGATTTGTGATGTTAAAATTTAAACATAAGCATTTATGCAGATTGTTACAATAAAAATTCATAAGGTGAGAAGTTTACCTTCAAATAGCTTAGAAAACCAGAATATAAAAAATAAGTAATTCAGGAAAAATATAAATTTAAGTATAACTGTAAAGCATTTATATAGGTTTTAATGAGATTAAACTATTTTCTATTTTGTTTTATAGTAATCATGCCTTTTTATTTTCAATATTAATTTTTCTTTTTCTTTTTAAAATTTATTTTCTGTATTTCTGATGCTATGACATCTTGGGGCCTGCCTAACCTAGGAAGAGACTGCCCCTCCCATGGTTCTAGCCTAAATTCCTAGAGACTGGCAACTATCTGATGATCTTTTGGCTTTACCAGACCCGAATAATAATAAAATTTTTAATAATGTTTTTACTGATTTCAGAGAGAGGGAGAGAGAGATAAAAACATCAATGATGCCCTGACTGGTTTGGCTCGGTGGATAGAGCATCGGCCTGCAGACTCAAGGGTCCCAGGTTCGATTCCAGTCAAGGGCATGTACCTTGGTTGTGGGCACATACCCAGTAGGGAATGTGCAGGAGGCAGCTGATCGATGTTTCTCTCTCATTGGTATTTCTAACTCTCTATCCCTCTCCCTTCCTCTCTGTAAAAAATCAATGAAATATATTAAAAAAACAAACAAACAAAAATAAAAAACATCAATGATGAAAGAGAATCACTGATCGACTACCTCCTGGACGTCCCCCCTCCCCCCATACTGGGCTCAAGCCCAAAACACAGGCATGTCCCCTGACCAAGAATTAAACCGTGACCACCTGGTTGACACTCAACTTCTCACCCACACCAGCTGAGCTAAAACCTACATTTTCAAATAGTTTTCTAAGTTGTTTCATTCTAATCCTCAAAACAAATACACTAAAGGAGATTAAAATTAAATCTTCACCTGTGATAGTATTCATAAAGATTTTTTCTTAGACTTTTCTCTTGTTAAACATGTACTTCTATCAAGCCAGTTAGCTATCTTTGAAATCAATTCATACAAATTTAAAGGGGGAAAACACCAGGAATAATATTTTACAAAGATCTTACTGTGCTCCAAAAAATGTGCCAGCCCAGGCAGATCATCCGGATCAGCAAAACTCCCAACTCCAACACAAAGAGCCGCTGCAGACTGGAGTAAGCAGAGCACATACAAATAGTGAGTCAATACTAAAGGAATAATTTTGTGACCTCATCTTAAGGATCCACTTGGAGATGGACGTATTCCAATAGAAAGTAACAAAATTCTTTCCCTGATAATCAGGAGGAGCAGCAAAGTGAAACTCACCAGAACTGTGTCAGTTTCACCCTGCTGCTCCTCCTCTTGCCACCCTGCCAAATGCTGAACAGGTGCAGACCTAAGGGGAAAAGCAGAAACAGAAAAAAAGCAAAGAGGGACTGGCCAGCCAACCAAAATAATACTTTGTGTCAGCATTTCAGAATTCTGAGTAAAGTTTGTTTCCTGATTTACTAGATTTCAGAAATCTACACAATAATATACCTTAGATTACCTCGAAGATCTCTAAGCAATTAAAGGGCTCTGTGGTCAGTAACTTCTCAATGTTACTCAGAACTTTTTTTTTGTTTTTATTTTTATTTCTTTGTTAATCTTCACTCAAGGATATTTTTTCCACTGATTTTTAGAGTGTGAAAGGGTGGGGGCAGCAGAAGAGAAAGAGAGGGAGGGAAGGACAGAAGAAGAGAGAGAGAGAAACATCAATGTGAGAGAGACATATCGACTGGGGCAGGGGATTGAACCTGCAATCCAGGTATGTACTCTTGACGGGGTATTGCACCCATGACCCTTCAGTGCATGGGCAGCGCTCTAACCACTGAGCAACTGGCCAGAGTAAAATTTTTTGTTTTTATTAAAACAGGGCATAAAGTAACATGTTAGAAAAACATCTAACAAAGACGAGAAGTAATTGGTTAAAAAAGAAAATCTTTAGCTATTAAAATACTACAGAACTGAATTTTAAAGAGGTTTTTAGTTCACTTTTTTTTTTGGTTTTGTTCCATCCACCAAAAGGGTGGATTACAAACAAATATTTGGTAATACGCAGTTACAATCGGCCCGAGTTTACACGTTTCCCGCACTCCACCGCAAATCTATATGAACCGAGTTAAAGACGGCTCCCGCGGAGTACGCGCAATTCACGCGAGCCGACTTAACTCGTTTCCCCCACTCCAAGTGTTAAAATACTACAGAACTGAATTTTAAAGAGGTTTTTAGTTCACTTTTTTTTTTTTTTGTAAAGGAGAGAGAAAGGAACAAGTTTATTGCATGACTTAGTAGGTGAGTGTTGACCTATGAACCAAGAGGTCACAGTTTGATTCCCCAACAGGACCCATGCTGAGGTTGTAGGCTCCATTCCTAGTGTGCAGGAGGCAACAGATCAATGATTCTCTTATCAATGTTTCTATCTCTCTCTCCCTCTTCATTCCTATCCAAATTCAAATAAGGGACTTGGGGACAGAAGTATGGCGAAAATGAGACTTTTAAATAGGTTCCTGAGAGCTGGTGTCCATCTGGTTGTACAGGCACCAGTTGTTCACTACTTATTGAAGTTATATAAAATACATTACATATCGACTGATAGTAATTTTCCATAGCTTGGGAAAACCAGAGTTTTTAACAAAATAGATGGTCAAGAGGTACACATTTTAAAAATGACTAGGGTATACCATATGTCATTGTTAAGTTAAAAGACACACAAAAAAGGAAAGAAAAACACTCCTTTTTAAATCCTTGAGGATAGGAAGTTGAATTAGTAACTTTCCCAAATTTTACAAATGTCAATTTTAAAGGGCTAAACATTTGGTGACCCAAATTGTTCGAAAAATGGTTACCCTCTTAAAAAGAGAGCTTTTAAAAAACAGTATGTAGCTGATATAAAGTCAAACCACGTGTCAGAAAATGAAAAGTATGTTTTCAGAAGAACGAAAATGCCTCACTTGATACTGTTTAATATTTTAAAGAGTTAGGCACATAAACTCAGTTAAAACATAGAGAAATAGCCCCTTTTTCAAGCCACAGTTTAATCTGTTCTGTGATGTTTAATAAATGCCTAACCTGCTTTCAGCTCCAACTACCCCATCAAGATTTCTTGTCTCGACCAGCAGGGTTGAAGACATTTTTGTATAAGGTGACTTAAACCACAATCTATCAGTCAGCTTTGACCACAGCAAAAACAGGCTCTGCGACTGCTAGAAAAGAAATTCATACTTGAGAATTAACTTCCCAAGAAATTCATACTTCAGAAATTCATACTTAAGAATTCACTACGCCGAAACCGGTTTGGCTCAGTGGATAGAGCGTCGGCCTGCGGACTGAGGGGTCCCAGGTTCGATTCCGGTCGGGGGCATGTACCTGGGTTGCGGGCATATCCCCAGTAGGAGATGTGCAAGAGGCAGCTGATCGATGTTTCTCTCTCATCGATGTTTCTAACTCTCTATCTCTCTCCCTTCCTCTCTGTAAAAAATCAATACAATATAT